ATTTTATTAAAGCAAGTTGACTTTAATCGTAATATTTTAAAGCGTAGAATCTGCGGTTTCTTTTTGTACAATTACTTAAGGACCACCCTGTATATATATATATATATATATATATATATATATATATATATATATATATATATATATACATATATATATATATATATATATATATATATATATATATATATATATATATATCAAACACCCGGTCAATGAATACAAATTTTTGACAAAACTAAAAAAAGTAAATCAAGGATGAAAATTAGGGAATACATAGTTGAAAGTCTTTATTATTTACAATCATAGAGTACCTCCATTTTGAAAAATTATTACAGGCATGCCTACCCTAAAAAATTCTTTACAAAATTATTTTATAGCTTCAGTAGTTTCTGAGATATAGCCCTTTTTTAACTCCTACGTGATTCCGCTAGTACATAAAGTGGGCAATATTCTTTAATTATTGATTTATTAAGTCATAAAAAAACCTCAAATTTTATGTCAATTAATGTTATGATGATTTAAAAAAAAATTATTTAAATATATAAACAAATAAACTGAAAATAAACAATTATTTTTACTTAATTAATTATTACTAACATACGTAATAATATCTAAAAAACGTAATTTTGATTAATATTAAATTTATAATTTAAATAAAAAAATCAGCGCAAGAATCGAATCCTGATTATCCACGTTCGAAAGCAAAAACAATATCACTTCGCAACCACTCAACTTGTTACATCAAATGTTACGGTTTAGATTGCAGCGTGTAATCTAAGTATTGTGTCTATCATAACAGCATTGGCTATTTATTTTTGTGTGCTGCTTAGGAAGCGCTGTCTTTAGCTGCTCCATTCATTTTTGCTTTCTAACAGGTATTATATATATATATATATATATATATATATATATATATATATATATATATATTACATAAATCTTATATACACATTCAAGAATCTAAATACAAAAGGAATTCTCATTCATAGAATCTTTCAGAATCATAGAAGAAGAATCTGACGATCCATTAAAAGATGCCATCCCACAAAAGATGATATCCCACCAATATTCATAAAACACCTACCTTTCACAGCAAATATAATATTGTTAGATTTATTCAACACCTGTTTTTTATAACAGAAATTTCCAAAACTCTGGCCTCGGGCAATAACTAATTCTATTATTAAACCCAATAAGCCGAAAGATATACCCTTATCGTACCGTCCCATTTCTTTCACATGTAGCATGTGCAAAATACTGGAAAAAACTTTAAATCTTTGTCTAACATTTAGAAACAAAAATCTCCTTACCCCCTATCAAAGTGGTTTTCACAAGAGACAGTCTACATTGGATACTCATATCTCACTAGAGACCTCAATTAATGAAACATTTCCAAACAATCAGAAGAACGAACGCCACATAGGCGCAGGCATACCCCCTACTAAAAAAAACCGACTAGCAAATGATTATGGGTTTCTGATGGCCTAGAGGACGAAGTCATCGAAAACGAGGGTGCTTCGACCGAAGACGGTACCTGCAGAACAAGAAGTAATTGTTGTGTCTTGTGTATAAACATTAACAAACCTTTTATTCCATTCTGTATAAGCTATAACAGACTTTATGGATTTCACTGAACTGAAACACTTAGAGACTTGCTTTTATAAACTTTTATGAACCTTTTCTTGTGCAAATGTAATGGTATTTTTGTTTATAAATATGTTTACTAATAAATTTCTGTCCAGCCACAGAGTCTTCAAATAAGGAGGATGTCATCGCAAGCCTGAGTAGTGGACACGCACTCCTATGTGTTCCCACGTGTTTACTCAAACGCTAAACTGGAGGACCGATCTAGAAGTAGCCTGTAACAAGGGGCTGGTCTTCCTAATGCCCTCTATGTTAAGTTCGGACGGACACACCCACGTACACTCATCATCAGTTACATTACAGCTCGTCATAAGCCAAAGCCTTCTTCAGAACCATCTTTCATTCGTCCCTGTCTCTAGCAACTCTTTCCATGCTTTAACTCCGATGGATTTTAGATCATCCTCTATGTTACCTTGATACCTAAGTTTTGGTCTTCCTCTGGATCGTCTTCCCACTGGTCCTCTTCGGTCGAAAATTGTTCTGATTGTTGCATCTTCATCTCGCCTAATTGCATGCCCTATCCATCGAAGGCGTGCTAATTTAATACATAAAGTTGTAGCGCCTACGTCACAAACCCTGTTCTTGGACTCCTCCATATATTTTCCTTCACGTACACTCATACATACTTACAAAACATTTATCAGGCCAGTGATTGAGTATAGATTTAATCTCTATATTTTGATCAACCGCCACCTCACACAAAGACTGCTGAAATTGGAACGGAGAATTCTTCGTAGAGTAAACAACAAATGACGTGACTACCCCTCCGCCCTCCTTCATCAACTGTCGAACATCCAGCCCATCCATGATATGCTCTCCTCTCTGAGGAGGAGTTACACAATCAAAACCATTCGTGGCCAAACCTTAAGAGCCCAAAATATCTTGAAAACTACCTGCTCATCCATCGGCAATGTATTCAAAAGACAACCTAAACCCAAACTCCCTTTTCTACCCACTAAATTACTGGCCCTTGCCACCAACGAATTTCCTGATGAATACATTGACACCCTGGAGGCAACTTCTCTCTTTTATCGCCGTAATAACCAGTAAATGCTCACTTCGAGCTTGCTAGACAGGGAGGGATCAGTTTTCTGTGGTTTCCCGATCCCATTGCACAATGATACCTGTCTATTTCAGAGGATACAGCCACAGCTGCACTCACGCCATTCACAATTATATACATATTAATTAAATTAAATTTATAAACTATTAAATTCAGTCAATTTATAACTATATTTTCATTAATAAAATTCTGAAAAGGACCGTTTTAGCTCAATAACCCTTTAACCTCTGATTGCCCAGGATCCTTCTCGGCTGGACACACCCAATGAAGCGAACCACCAGTGGAACCAATGCAATGACAAAAGCCAACCCAACAAATAAAAACAAATCACGTGCTGAAGAGGTGAAAAACCTAAACTGGACAACAAAACACAAGTAAAAAGAAAATCCAACCAACAGAAAAAGACCATCGAGACAATGAACTAAGTCACAGGCTAGTCTTGTTTTAGCTCTCATACAGGGTCTCCTATTACCTGGGAGCCCTTTGCCGGGGATCTGTTCCCGTTCTACGAACCTAGGCTCTTGGCTGAAATCTATTCACCTTTAAAAATGTATTTTTATTTCATTACCGATGTAATAATTGTCGATAATGTCCAGCAAAGATGGAATCTACACAGAGGGCACTTCGAATTGATTGGTCGAAATCCCGCTGTAAGGCACGATGGCTATAGTATTCCAGACCCTTCCTTCTATCTTGGTGACATTATATACATCTATTTGCGTGCGCATCCAGTAGTTAACCCAAATAAGTAGTTACAAAATTGACTATATCTCGGAAACTATTGAAGGTATAAATAATTCTCTTGACAAATTTGTAAGCTAAAGTCTGTCGATTTCTAAAAAAAATTTTTTTTTCATTATTTTATCAAATACAGCACAATATATGAAAAATCAACCCTTTTTACAGAACGGATGTACCTTAGGAATGTAAACTTTTTTTTATTTAATAATAGACACTTTCATCCACCTATTCCCAAATTTTCATCTTTGATTTTATCATTTTTTTGGTCATAGTATTCTTTGATCGCGATACAAATAAAATTAAAATGGAAAAATAACGTGAAAGAATTGATCTTAGCAGAAGTTGGGCAATACTGTCCTCCAAACATGGTCCAGATGAACTACAGTTAATAATCATCAAATTCTTTCAAGCAAGAATTAACTATCATATTCAATGAGATATATTTATAACAGTGGAAAATGCTCAGAGAATAGTTAAGATCAGAGTAGTTTGGAGGCCAAAAAGTGCAGTGCTAATAAAAATATAAAAATTATGTTGAGACTATGTTTAATAATTATGCATGGGAGATTATACAAAATCTGCGATCATAAAACAGTTTTAAGAAAGGTTGGAGCAGGACATGCTCTATTCAGTATAAAAGTGCTCACATATTCTACAAAGATTTATCAAGTCATACAGATTTGAAGGTATCCAGAAAATATAAACAGGCATTGATCGTATTCATTCTGGAACGCAATACTTTACTTTTCACCATCGGTAGGTTGAATACTTAAGTTACTCTCTACTTTCTATTTACTCTCTTATTTCAGTGCCGTTGTGACGGATATAAAATTTTACAAAAATATCTACAATGTCTAGTTTAAAATGTCATGGATATGATAAATACAAAAAACAATATTATCAAACAATTTGATATATGCTACAATAATAAAATTTATATTAAGTTAGTCAACAGATGTCTTTTAGACTCCTTAATAGTGTAAAAAAATTTTTGTCATTGAGTCATTGTATAAAATATTTAAAATGTTCTACCCCTTGATACAAAATCAGTAAGGCTACACCTTGGCAAAATAAACAATTTGCTAATTGATTCGAATATCTAATCTTAGTAATATTAATAAATATATTGTACTGATTCGTCAATGTATATTGACTACATTTATTGTCATGAAAGCTAGAAATAATACTTGTGGATAATGATAAATAAATTGTCTTTATAGAAAACATTTTAAAATTATCTAAATATAAAAATGATAGTATGCCATTTGTAAACGTTTTGATGTTCATCATAAATTGGTGAATACTTATATAAAAGATATACAAAAATATAAAGTCTATCAATATGTGCAAAAGTATGTGATATAAAAAAATTATCACAATTATCAGTGCCAATTACAAGCGAATTCAAAATCTAATAATATTTTGTGTACATTAAATAAATTTGATAAATTTTATAAATGGTTAAAAAACCTAAGCTGCAAAATATTATGAGTATTAAATTATCTTTCTAAAAGATACAAAAAACAACAATCAATCTCAACTGTAAAAATCAGCCCCACATGTCTAGAAAGCAAATAATCATATGAATTAAATGCTCTGGGGTTTCAATCATTGGTAGATGTCCAGCATTTGGAATCAGTTCTAGGAAAGCTCTTGGAATTGTCTGCAATAAAAAAACATATAAGACTACTATAAATTGCCAAAAAAATTAACAAATAACAATGCAACATTTGAGGATTTTACACTAAAAATCACATTGAAGATTGTCGCATCTTTGGCAGTTGCTTTAAACAGAGTTTTTGCAGGTTACGTTACATTAAGGATATTGCAGGTAGATGTGGATAAAACCAATGTTCCTTTTAGTGTAAAAAGCTTGGTTTCTAGAAACAGCTAATTATTTCTTAAATGGATGATCCGAATTATATAAAAATAGGGGTACACCTAATTTGTGATATGAAGATACACTTTGTTTTTTTTTTTTTGTTTTTTTTAAATACAACTGTATATTGACGAGGCAACCATGTAACACTTGGTATTTTATCTAGTCACGAAGGTCTTATGTAAATAAAAATTCTCACTTTGTGTCACTTTGGTTTCTTAAATAACACACCCTGTATATTTTATTGTATATATACCATTATTGATATAATTAGACGTTTCCAATCAGACGGTTGCAGTCAGAAGTTTGGCCGGGATGTTACAGAAACACTCTTTTGACTTCGGAATTGTTTAATTCCTTTTTCAAGACACTGTAATTAGAAGAATGTGTGAATATTTACAATATATCACAAAATGTCAGTGCAACTTACTAGTCGTTAAGATTATTTATATAAAGCTATGACACTCAACATTAATAACACACATATAAAATATAACATATAAAATAATAGACAAAATACATTTTAAAATTTAGTTAAAGATAGTAAAACTTCGTTTGTGACATCTTTTAATGGTGTGTTTTAACTCATCGATAGAGAACAGAAAGTAAAAAAACCAAAAATAGTATGATTAAAATGTAATTAGGTTTTCTTCATATTTTTTTATCTTCTATTTACAGTGTCTTGAAAAAGGAATTAAAAAATTCCGAAAGCTAGACCAAAAGAGTGTTTCTGTAACATCCCGGCCAAACTTCTGACTGCAGCCCTAATAAACTGTGTTGTTTGTTTATATCGACAGTCACTAATATCCAGTATTTCTTATATATATATATATATATATATATATATATATATATATATATATTGAATATAAGGAACGGCATGATTCAGTAGGGAAAATCCTCCATCAAGAGAAAGCATTTAAACTGGGACTTCTACAAATAAACCATCTCCCATATTATCAATACGTTCCTTGAGAGTATGCTTGAGAATAACAATTACAAGCTATATTGGATTGCACTGTGCTCACAGACCAAACTGTAACACATAATAGACCAGATCTCGTGCTAGTTAATAAACTAACAAGACAAACAATACTAATTGATGTGGCGATACCTAACAACAATAATATGCGTGTTAATTACAACGAAAAGATCGCCAAGTACAGAGATCTGGAAATACAAATAAGGATACAATGGAGAATGGAAAGTACCCAAACGATACCTTATTATTATTTCTACCACTGGAGTCATTCCGAAGAACCTCCTAGAATATCAATATAAGATCATGCAGAAAGCTGTGCTACTTTCATCGTCCAGATGCGTGAGAAAATTATTGGGAGAAACACGGACGTACCAAGCCACCTAGGACTCGATAACACGTAAAGAATCCCACCAGAGCTCAATCCTTTTGATGCCGTAGATATCTGAGATTAGTGAATTTTCCCCTTGGAGGGAGTGTGAGCCATATGGCTTAATCTAGATAATAATAATAACTCAACAGAAAGGATACGATAAGGGTTCCATGGGTTGCAAAAAACAATTTATTATCGACTCAGTCATTTCTAACCAGGCATACACAAAAAAAGGAACCTCTTCACTGCCTTTATTGACTATAAGAAAGCCTTTGACTTAGTGCCGCATGAATGGCTGGTACCTTCTTAAGACATAATGACAGATTGGAAGACAAAAATTCACCTCCAAATACCTGGTGAAGAGACTCGTTGAGTCCATTGTGGTTCTGTCTAGCGATGAATCCACTATCCCAGCTATTGACTCAGGTTTTAGCATTAAAAACAACAACACTGTAGTGGCGAAACTTAATCTTCTTTCTTTCTCCCCTTCCTTTTACCCTATCAGGCTGTCGGATGCGAAACTTAATCATCTATTATATATGGATGATTTGAAAGTAATAGCTTCCACTCGAAATCACTTAGATCAAATGCTAAAAACTGTAGAAACTTTTTCAAATGATATCAGTAGGCACTTTGGATTAGACAAGTGCCGTGTACTAAATATAGTCAAGGGAAAGGTTCAGCCCATAGGATTCGATATGCAAAATGGCCGAAACATCGAGGCTATGGGCGAAAATGACATGTATAAATATCTAGGAGTGAAGCAAGCGCGGAAAATTGACCATAAACAAATGAAAACTGAATTTACATCAGAGTTCATACGAAGGGTAAAACAGCTACTCCGCTTACATCTTAATAGTAAAAATTTGTTTAAGGCATTAAACACCTAAGTATTTTCCACGCTTAGCTACTCATTGGGGATTATTAAGTGGACTAAATGGATATAGAAACTCTTCAGCGAAAAGTACGAACACACCTCACAAAAACACCATCCTCGAAGTTCAGTAGCAAGACATTACCACGGCATTTAGGAAGACGAGGACTTATACAGATATAAGCGAGCAATTAGAAAAACAGATTACTAATTTAAGAACTTATTTTCAGGTGTAGGCAGAGACATCTACTCTTTATCGCGAAATTTGTTCAGTAGATGACACAACACCGATCAAACTGAGGGAACAAGAAATGCGCATAAACCATCTTACTAAGAACGAAAAAATGAGCATCTGGATAGGTAAACATCTACACGGGCGACATCCTAATGAAGTCAGTCAAGACTATGTCGACAATATAGCATCGAACTATTGGTTGACATCAGGAAAGATGTTCCCTGAAATAGAAGGTTCATTACTTGCCATTCAGGATCAGGTTATACCAACCAAAAATTACCTCAAAAAGACCCTGAGGTCCAAAACGACAAATGCCGATATGAATGTCAAGCCCAAGAAACCATCCAACATCTTACAGGGGGCTGCCAGGCATTTGCTGCAGTAGGGAAGATCCTCTATCAAGAAATAGCTTTTAAACTGGGACTTCTATAAACCATCTCCCATATTATCAATACGTTCCTGACAGTATGCTTGAGAATGACAACTACAAGCTATATTGGGATCGCACTGTGCTCACAGATCAAACTGTAGCACATTATTTATTTATTGTATGGCACTTGACACATCATATATTTTGTATAAAACATAATACATATATGTTTACAAACAAACATTTAACTTATTTATATAGTCTATCGACTCTGGAGTCGCCACTAGGAAATCCTCTAACGTACCTTGATAGGATCTTGTGGAACACTGTTCTGTAATGTGATAGATGGTTTGGGGTTGACCGCAGTTACAGAGTGGTGATGGTCGTTTACCCCATTTGTGCATCATGTAACCGAATCTGCCGTGTTGGGTTCTGATTCGGTTCAGCATAGTCCATGCGTTGCGTGGTAAGTCAAAACCTGGTGGTTTTTGTGTGATGGAGGGTATTTTGGTATATTGCTATTTTGTTGTTCCATCCATTCTCGAGTCCAAGTGGTCGTTAAGTTTGAACTCATTTTCCACAGCAATCTGTGCCGCTTTTATTGGCGGTAGTCTGGAGCGTAAACCAGACACGTTTTCCGCTGTTGACAGATGTTCCTTGAAAGATAAGGTTCTGACAAAAGTCACCCCAAGGTATTGTAGGCGAGTGTGGTGTTTTCGAATTGGATGTTGAGTGTTCTTCCTGCAAGCTTGTTATTTAGATGAAAACTGGAAACCTCTGTTTTGGTAGCGTTTGGTTGGAGCCTCCATTTACGGAAATACTTTCCCACTGTGTGTAAGTCTACAGTGAGGATTTCTTGTTTGTTCAAATGACTTACACCTTGTTGCAAGGACCCAGTCATCGGCGTAACCAAACTTCCTTGATCTGGTTTCTGGTATATCAGCGATGTACCAGCTAAAGAGAAGAGGAGGAGACTGGACAGATCCCTGAGGCACTCCATTCTTCAGTTTTCTTGGGGTGCTGATGTCGGTTCCCATGACTACTTGAATCGTTCGGTCGGCTAGCATGCTGTTGATTATTCGAGAGGTGAATTTACAGGAGTTTGTATGGAAGAGCTTGTATATAATGCCTTCTGTCCAGACTGTATCGTAGGCTGCTGTTAGGTCTATGAATGCGGCTGCAGTTTTAAGTTTTCTCTGGAACCCTGCCTCAACAAATGTGGTAAGTGAAAGAACCTGATCTGTGCAGCTTCTTTTTGGTCGGAATCCTGCCTGATCAACCAGTATTGATTCAAGTAGCTTTGGACTAATTCTGTTGTAGATAAGTCGTTCTAGTAGCTTGAACGTTGTCGATAGTAGGGCTATTGGTCTCTAGTTCTTAGGTTGTTATCGTTTGGTTTCCCTGGTTTTAATGTGGCAATGATATTCAGCGTTTGAGTTCCTGTGGTATAGTACCGGTCTTCATAATATCTGTGAAAAAGTGGGTCATCCATTCTCTCGCATATTTGCCGCTGTTTATTAAAAATTCGGGATGACATTGAGATGAGATTGAGACATCTAGAATTGAGAATGACAACTACAAGCTATGATCGCCAAGTACAGAGATCTGGAAATACAAATAAGGATACAATGGAGAATGGAAAATACTCAGACGATACCTATTATTCTTTCTACCATTGGAGTCATTCTGAAGAACCTCCTAGAAAACATAAAAAAGCTGGGTCTAAATGAACATCAATATAAGATCATGCAGCAAGCTGTCCTACTTTCGACGTCCAGATGCGTACGAAAATTTTTGGGAGATATACCAACGTACCAAGTCACCTAAGACTCTATAACATGGAAAGAGTCTTACCAGAGCTCAATCCTTTTGATAACGTAGGTATCTGAGATGAGTAAATTTTCCCCTTAGAGGGAGTGTGAGCCGTATGTCTAAATCTGGATAATGTATGGGTTATAATTTACCTACAAAATCCTGTGAAGTTTACTTACCCTTTCCATTTCACACTCTTGAACTAAGGTGACATGAGGATCTTGTAAGCCATGCACTAAAAGAGTTGGCGCAGTGATTCTTCTATGGAAAGCTGTATCCCCTTGAGACCACTTTTGGCCAATGGCTATATTTTCAATAACGTGTCTTGGTAAACCATTCTCATCATCGCAAACTTTGAAATGTTTCCCTCTTGATGAGAAGAAAATACTTCTAAAATATACATTTTTGTATACTATATATAACGTGACAAGAATGAAAAATGATTTATATAGCTGTGAGTAATTAAATCAGAAAAAAAAATTAACTCGGTTTAGACTGATTTTAAAAAATGAAAAATTGAACTAGAGGAAATACAGATTTAAAGCAAAATTGAAGAAAATCAAAATAATATAATACACATCAAGAAGAAATATTCAAATACAGCACACACATATATTCAACAAGTATGATACCTGTCAAATACAGCAAGCAGATTCACACTTTGAACCCAAAATACCACATATTTGATAATGAGTGGTAAAATGCTACTATACTATGTACTATTACTTATTATATATATATATATATATATATATATATATATATATATATATATATATATGTATATAGGTATATAAACCAATTTTCTTTCATTATGGCTAAACTATCGAGTAAAAAGAAGAACAATTTCTTTTTATATTAAACATGAATATAAAAAGAAATTGTTAAATTGTTTCCGAGATAAATGTATTTTATTACCTTTTGACACCACAGTAGAGTAACGGATGTAACAAAGTATATGCAAACCCAAACGGTGGTATGCCATCATCTTTCACATAAGGTGCTAGAGGTATAGGTCCCCCTCCACTAATTAGAACAAGCTGGCTGATTTGTTGCGCACGATGTGGGTACATGGCTGTTATTAAGCTGCACCTATAAAGAATAAATGAAATGATTAATAACAATATTTTTTATTTTAAATATATATATATATATATATATATATATATATATATATATATATATATAATTTTTTAACATCCTTTATCAACGTCTGTTTGCCTTGCAATTCTTAGAAGGCGTGTTTCGAAACTATTTTACGATTGTTTAATTAGATGTCGCTAGTGCGTCCGTATTGAAGCCATGTTATTGTTCCTCCTTAAAGACAGAAAATATTGATTTTTCACGTTGAGAACCCCTATGAATAGCTCTTCTGACGAGACCTATTAGGTCGAAATACGTATCAAGAGATACATAGGATTTGTTTGCGTGAAATCAAATATTTGCTGCCTTTTTTCATTTTATTCGGATTTACTCTGTGTGAGTACTAGAAGCACAAATCGCTAAGGATTTCTGCTTAGTTGTAAAAGACATGTCGTGGAATGCAAATTTTAGATTCCCCATGTCTCTTTTAACATCTTTTATCAACGTCTGTTTGCCTTGCAATTCTTAGAAGGCTCAGATTATAAAGCAGAAATCTGAATTGTGTTTCGAAACTATTTTACGATTATTCCGATACTACTTCGGCCCTAGCCCAACATCATATTCAGACAGGGCACAAAATAGATTTCGAAAAACCAAAAACCATCCGCTCCTTAAAATCAAGAATCATTCGTGAAGCTATCGAAATCGAAAAACGGTCTAACAGCCTAAATACGCGCGATGATGCGAAACGATTGCCGGCAACATGGCGTCTTCTGTTTCAGCGACCTCCCGCCCACACCGCTCAAGCCACGTCAGCCCGTTCCCGCCCATACAGCGAGTATAAAAGCAGCCACACGGTAAGACCGGTTGTCACTCGATACTGAGGAGTAGGCAGATTGAGACCTCAGCACCGAGAGACAGTTCTTGTATTTATACTGAACACGATACTGGTATGTTTTGAGTGAGGGGAGTAGAGATTCGAGAATTGAGCAGATTGAGACCCCGAACTCGAACCGAACCGTATCACTCTTGATAATGGCTCCAAAATGGGTGCCGAAACGTAGAGTAATAAATTCTCAACGCGGTTCTTCCCGAGAACTAACTTCCTAACCTATCCTAACTTAACCACTATATTCATAAAATATTGTAATATTGTAGCCATCTGTTCCTTATGAATTCAAAATCTGGTTTAATCGTGGAAGTGGAAGTTGTAAAGTGGAAAAACTTATATTTTAATGTCAATTTAGACGATTCGCGATTTAATAATAACGTGTACTGTAAATGTAAGTACGATTTACTGTTTGTATTGTTAAATTTATTTTTCAAGTTATAATATTAGTATTAAAATCAGTGTTCTTACTTTGACATTGCCAAATAATTTTGTATGAAGCTTTTTTATTGTGGCGACATAATGCAGTTTATTATTTTTATTGGGAATAAGGCACAATGTGACTTTAAAATAAGCTTATTTTGATGTTTAGATTTCCAATTCCTACTTAAAATATGAAACATGAATAAATTTTATTTATATAAAACGATTTCCGAAGTGGAAATCAAAATGTTAAATTACACTTATTGTAAAGAAAATTGTGGCATATTCCCAATAAAAAACAGTAAGCTGCCATTTAAATCAATTCGCTCAAATTCAAATCTAAAAAGACAACAGGTCAAATAAAACAAAAAAGTTTGGCAACATTGAACTTCCCCTCTTTTATTAATTTCCACTAATGCATTTTTGACGATATAAAGGGATATAAAAACCTAACCTAACCTAATATACCTCTCTCTTTTTAAACAGGTGTTTCTCACTCCACCTCACGTAAGGTCCATACAGACCATAAACCTTTACCTATACTATATATATATATACATACATATATATATATATATATATATATATATATATATATATATATATATATATGTATATATCTGCTATTTGTTAATTTTCTATACATAACTGTCCCAAAATTTTATTGAATGTTGAGAATTTTTGTTAATAAAATGAAAGAACAATAGTAAATAAATATATATCTTTAAAAAGCTCACACATTTTCGTCTTGGTCTTTGAGTTATGGACAATTTTTTACAAACCTGTGACAAGGGACTGTTGTAGCCATCCAGGGGAATGTTTTTATGTACAAAAACAATTGTTTTTGTTAAATTTAATTTGGCAGTATTTTTAAGACTCTAATTTTATGACGCTAAAGTCAGTCATAATAAAAATCAAAAAGCCTTTACTTCTGCTATTTAATTATCATAACGGATATTTTATGTTTACTCAATACTTTGAAAAAATGGTACATTTGAAGTAATTAAAGTAATTAATATTAATTATATGATGCTTTACAAAAAAAAATCAGTGTTTATTTTGTAATTCAGGAAAAACATTTAAATTAAGTTATTTCTTGAAAACTGGTACAGACATAAAAAACTAATAAAATATTATTCTTTCTTTTAGACATAAATCTGAATCTGGTAACTTTTGCAGTATTTGGTCAAAACTGACATCAGAAATCTGTTGTGGGCAACTGCTACTTTGTTTAGTGCTACTACTGCATCTACTAGTGAACCCCATGTCTCAGTCATTAGTGAAAACAGCTAGGTAAGCTAGTGAATTCAACGCTATTGGACTAATCTGGGCAAACTGCCAGTCAAATTACAATAAGTATATCTGATAGTGCTATTATAAATATGTGGAAATAGGCACTAAACCAATATAACACAGAAATTGGGAAAAAATGTGTGAGACAAACTCATGAAATTATTAAAAAGTTGAAGAGAAAAAAATAAGGCTGACATTAACATTCAACCAATCATAATAGACACTGGTAATGTGAGTAGCTCAGATTCTGATTCTTAAATAAATATTTAAAATAAACTGTTTTTTTACCAAGCTCAAAAGTTTTCTATTTTTTAATTTATTTTACACCAGTTAAATATATTGGTTGTATTGGTATACAAAGATGTATTGGTTCTTAAAGTTCCAACCTTGTAGGTATATATGTAGTACATTTTTTATTTACTTACCCATATGAGTGCCCAATCAAAATACATTTCCTTTTACTGTCAGCCATATAATAGTCAAAAATAGTAAGAGCTTGAAGCAATAAGTTATTGAATGTATAATAGCTAGACTTTAATGGAGCTGAACTGAAGCCATGTCCTAACATATCAGGAGCCACCACCTCATAGCCTCTACAGGTCATTGCATTAATAACAATTGTCCAGATATCTGCTGATGTGCCTATACCATGAAACATGATAACCAAAGGTTTCTGTCAAACAAATATGAAATATTAAATATATAATATAGCACTGTTACAAAAAAATCAATCTACAACTGTTTATCAAGTGAGGATACAGTATATAAAAAAAAAACAAAAAAAAGTGTGGTACTACATAAGAAATAAACAGATTTGTTATACAGAATAAGAGTATTGGTTTGAATTAACCAGGATTAAAAAAATCATGAATATGAAAAAATTTAGGAAATCGGTATAAATAATCTGTTAAAGATAAGATTAGGAAGAAGCTGTAGAAGAGCTTTATACAGGAAGAACATATTTATTGGGCCCAGGGACAAGGAACAGTACACCATTAGACTAAACAAAAAAAATAATAAAGTACCATGAAATAATGGTATACCAGCAGAACTTATTAAATGTGAGGGTCAATCAATCAAATACATAAAATAATAGCAAGGACTTGGAATGAGTAGTGTACTGAAATTATTTGCCCCCTATATACAAAGGGTGATTAATTGGAATATAGAAACTGTAGGGGAATACATCTCTTTAATATAGTATACAAAATATTTTCAAGTATCCTATATGGTCCCTTAATTGAATATTTAAAGGTTCTTGGCGAATAGCTTCAGAAAGTTGTATGAGAGGATGCTGTGAGAACGGATTGACAACACAATTAAGAGATCAGGAGGCCTATCCTCAAGACAATTTGGTTTCTGCAAATGGAAGAGCATAATTGACGCAATTTTGAGTGTAATCGAGGCATTGCACAAATATAACTACAAATACAAACTAGCATCAAGTACCTTAGTTAATTTACCCAGAAATTTATAAAAAGTTTTTAGTTCAGAAAATATGCTGATGGGTGAAGACTTTAGTCATGCACTATATAAGACATGTTAATTGAATTATCTTACCTGCAAAGCTTTTTTATGAACACATGCTTTTCTCACACAAAAACTATTTCGTAATTCAGTCTTGTTAGCTGCAAAATCATTTTTGGAAGCATTGTTTAATTTTCGCCTAAGTGTTATAACAACATTATCTTCATCAGTAACTTCATACCCCAAATTGACTTTCCCATTATCACTATTTGTTGGTTGGTGATCTTTTGTTCTTAACATATAATATTCGTGACAGGCTTCAAAAAATGTATCTTGTATAAGACGCTCAACAAATGTTGCAATGTTTTTAATTTTTGTAGGTGGCAAATCTATACTGGGAATCCTATAACAATATGAACTAATATATTGGATAACTACTATAAAGAGATATAAGGTATATAATTATGTTTTTACCTCATATCTCTATATCTAAATAAAAATAACTTAGAATTACATGATACTTACAAATTTCTGCTATCTATATTCTGCCCTAAAGGCTGACTTGAAGTTACTGAACATCTTACGGACCTCCTAAAAGAGCAGTTACAATTTCCGATTTTTAGTGGTTTATTCCATCTACTAAACCAATACTCTTCGGATAGAGAGCATCTTTTTGAGTCAAAAAATATTGGCTGGGAAACTATTATAGACTTTCTTAAAAAACCTGGATAAACATGTACAACCCGTATTTGAATTTTGGAATCAATTACAATGAATTCACAGTCCCTAAGAGGTTGTTGATTAGAGGGATGGATTTTATGTCCTGTGGTAAAGGTGGTGACTAAAGTTCTCCATGATTGAACCATTTTTGGGACACATCCAGTCGTTTCGATGTTTTCTGACATTTTATAAAGCTATGTAACGCCCATACTTAATCAATTAATATACCCTCATTAAAACAATTAACTGTATCAAAGAGATATGAATCATTTTAAATGGTTTGATATGAAAGGTAATATTGGTACGAGGCACTCTGTTAAGTTGATAAATACCTAAAAACTTTACGATATTATATATTATAATACTTATAACAGTAAATTAAACAGGTTAAGGAAATTTTATTATATAAGGGTAAAACACAAAAGCTCTTACCTTTTAAGTAATATTAGATATGTTTTCATTATCTTAAAAATTAAACTTCTGCTACTTTATGTTCCTGTAAGAATGTAGCATGTCTATAACGTATTCTACATTTCTCATAAACAGTTATACAAAAATATTTCGCCTCCTTTCAGACAATTCAATATTTGTTGTGACATTTAATTCAAACTGACAAAATTAACCTGTTGAGTTGAAATGATTACTGAATACAATAAAAGTTACAGACATGACATATTGACAATTTTTGCAGTCACGTGTCACGTCAAAATTCACAAAACACCATTTTGTTTAATGTTATTGGATTCGGCTATAAGATGAACTTTGTACTTCAATAATTTTCTTTCTACTTTACCAATTCATTCAAATATCAGATTTATAAGTATAGGAAGTAGTTAGTATTGAAAAGATTTACCAAGATGTTTTCAAATTATACTAGAACTCTAGGAACTCAGGTAAGCCTTATATAGATCCACCCAGTTGTTTTTCTGTATTTGGTTTGAGTTATTTTCTTTCACTGTAATCCTTCAGGAATAAAAATTGTAAAGATAATTAATGACACTGAAAAAGGACACAGGAATAACTAAAACGAAGATTCGAGAGCTGGAATATTTCAGCTCAATATGTGATGAGACATCCCAAGAAGTATAGCAGTATACACCTTATACAGTAAATATAGGACAAGGTAACAGAAAGAAGAGGCCTAGGCCGAAGAATTTCTGGCTCCGAAATCTGGTAGGATGGTATGATAACACATCCCTTCCAGCTGTAGCAGATAAAATTATTATAGCCAATATTTAATAAACTGATGTGGCGCTAGAAGTAGTTAATGTTTTTCTTGTTAAATAATGTAACAGTTACATTTTTATTTGCAGTTAAGAAGATTCCAAAGCACCTTGGTAATAGCAGAACACAATAATGAAACCTTATCCCCTATCACCCAAAATGCCATAACTGCTGCAAAAAAGTTAGGTGGAGAAGTATCAGTTCTAGTAGCAGGGACAAAATGTGGACCAGTAAGTACCCAATTTATGTCTTCATAAGGTAAATAAAATTAGTTGACAAAACATCAAGTAACTAAGAAATATCTAGGGATATCAAGAGAGCAAAGTCTACAACTTTATTTTGTTTTGGATATCATGTTTATTCAACTTCATTTTACTGTCATATACTGTAGTGAATGCAAAACTTATTATTAACAATGATTAGGTTGACAGTTTAGAAAATTACTTTAGTTTTTATTAAAAATCTTAAAATCATTATATATTTTTAGGCTTCATCTGCACTTTCAAAAGCAGGTGGTGTATCCAAGGTTCTTGTAGCTGAAAATGAAGCATTTAAAGGTTTCACTGCTGAAAATTTAACTCCATTAATATTGAATGCACAAAAACAGTTTAAATTTACACATATTATTGCTGGTGCCTCAGCATTTGGAAAGGCTCTTTTGCCCAGAGTAGCTGCAAAGCTTGATGTCTCTCCTGTATCAGACATTATTGCTATAAAGTCCCCTGATACCTTTGTTAGGACTGTCTATGCTGGTGAGTATGTAGTTTTGTTCAATGATATGTATAAAAATATGAAGTAGAATGAAATAAGACATGTCTAATTTCTATGGATTTAATACTGACCAATTAACTCATGAAGAAAAAACAATAAAACTAGAAAAATAACAACAAAAAGAAGGAATAAAGCATTAAACACAATTTTGAACTAAAAGGGATGAAGAGATATTATTATTTTAGCATTTTCATATAATTTTTTTATAGGTAATGCAATTCAGACTTTGCAAGTCACAGACCCTATTAAAATATTAACAATTAGAGGAACCAACTTTGAAGCTGCACCATTGGATGGTGGTTCTGCAGCTACTGAAAATATTCCAGCAGATGGCTGTGCCAATGATCTTACTACTTTCGTTAGCCAGGAATTGAGCAAATCTGACAGACCTGAATTAACAAGTGCTAAAGTAGTTGTTAGTGGAGGTAAGTGGACTTTTGTTTACTTGATATTGATATATGAATATAAATTTAACTACAACTTGGTTTAAACCAATTGTAAGTGGGTTTTGGCCATTGATAAATAATTAATGGTCCCTTGAGAATCATCTCAATGTAATTAAAAATTTGAAGGCAATAATCAATACAACATACTTTATTCTACTGGAAAACAATGATCATAGTAGTTAGTTTATTGTTACAGTTCATCTAGTTTTTAAATGATTGTATTCTTTATAATATATATCTTGTTTTATTAGTTTTTTTACCTTCAGGATTAACAATGAATATGAAATTTTTATAATGAACAAGTTTTTCCTTTTATTTACATCTTTGGCACATTTTGTGTATGTTTTTCCTTATTTTATTATTGTATTTTTTTTTTTGAGTTTATTAAGTTTTTATATTTTTGATTTTTAGGTCGGGGTTTGAAGTCAGGAGACAATTTCAAACTTCTATATGATCTAGCTGATAAATTAAATGCTGCAGTTGGTGCTTCTCGTGCAGCTGTAGATGCTGGATATGTACCAAATGATATGCAAGTTGGTCAAACAGGAAAAATTGTTGCACCTGTAAGTAATCTGATGTAATATTATGTTTAAATATTAAGAAAATAATTTTATTAAACACTGATTTAAACTTCTTATCACATCTACTACAAAAACAATGCATCTTTCATTAGTTTCATCTACTCAATCATATTTTTCAAACTTATATATATGGAACTAAGTTTCATCAAGATAAAATATATTTTGATTGACCTCACAGTAACCTTTTATATCATAAAAGTACTCTTTATCATTCACAAATGATCTGAATCCATAATTGAGATTTAATTATGGAATATATACAGCCACAGCCAACCAAATAACAAAAACTTGTTAAAATCCACAAGGAAAAATTCCTGTAGCTGGCTGTATACCACGTATAACAAAAAGAGGTTAATCTTTGTAAATGGGTATATTTATTTAAAAACCCTTAAAAGGGCCACATCAATAAAACAAACGTTTTCGGACCACACAATCCATCATCAGGTTATTAAAATCGAAAATGCCTAAAAATAAGTATAAACCATTTAGTTAAAACAAACGAGATTTTGAAATTTTGACTATGGTTGAAAAGCAAAAGATGGTTATACTTACTAGGTCATAATGCCTGAGCCACCAAAATATTAGGGTAAAAACCCTTTAAATTACATTTAGTTATGAAATGTTGTACATTGTGTTATAAAATAACTGTGATGTTCTATATTAAATTAAATTTGACTAAAGGTAACACATGGCTCAATTGGGTTCCAGAGCCGGGTGAGAGGGAACCTCTGCACTCAGAGAACAACGTGGAACTGATTGACAAGATACTTTTGAAGGATGAAGATAACAGAATGTCAATGCAACAAAAACTGTAAAAGTTGTACATAGTATTACTACAGCCAAAAGATTCAACAAGTTTTGATGATTTTAAAAAATAACAACAATCTAGGTGTTGGGATTTAAAAACTTTTTATTTATTAATTTAGGGTATAAAAGATGTCAAATCAATGATGGTTTTATAGTCATGATTAATATAATGACCTGTGCCTTAGGCAACTTATGTTGCTTTTCGTCGTATGGAATGTGGTCTAAAGTGTATTTAATTTTGGGTTAGCTTTTATTTAAGAAATTTATCCTTTTATGTTTAACACATCTAGGACAAGGTAAAAATTAAATAACAAATATTTGAAGCTAATATCAGACCTCATGTTTAAATGACTTTAAACATGAGGTTTAAATTCAATCACATATGTTACTACTTCAATTTCTTCAGCCTGTAGATTTCAATCTTACTAAACTTAATTTTATTAATTTTTCACCATAGGAGCATTCTTAAATAAAGTCATTTAAACATGAGGTCTGATATTAGCTTCAAATATTTGTTATTTAATTTTTACCTTGTCCTAGATGTGTTAAACATAAAAGGATAAATTTCTTAAATAAAAGCTAACCCAAAATTAAATACACTTTAGACCACATTCCATACGACGAAAAGCAACATAAGTTGCCTAAGGCACAGGTCATTATATTAATCATGACTATAAAACCATCATTGATTTGACATCTTTTATACCCTAAATTAATAAATAAAAAGTTTTTAAATCCCAACACCTAGATTGTTGTTATTTTTTAAAATCATCAAAACTTGTTGAATCTTTTGGCTGTAGTAATACTATGTACAACTTTTACAGTTTTTGTTGCATTGACATTCTGTTATCTTCATCCTTCAAAAGTATCTTGTCAATCAGTTCCACGTTGTTCTCCGAGTGCAGAGGTTCCCTCTCACCCGGCTCTGGAACCCAATTGAGCCATGTGTTACCTTTAGTCAAATTTAATTTAATATAGAACATCACAGTTATTTTATAACACAATGTACAACATTTCATAACTAAATGTAATTTAAAGGGTTTTTACCCTAATATTTTGGTGGCTCAGGCATTATGACCTAGTAAGTATAACCATCTTTTGCTTTTCAACCATAGTCAAAATTTCAAAATCTCGTTTGTTTTAACTAAATGGTTTATACTTATTTTTAGGCATTTTCGATTTTAATAACCTGATGATGGACTGTGTGGTCCGAAAACGTTTGTTTTATTGATGTGGCCCTTTTAAGGGTTTTTAAATAAATATACCCATTTACAAAGATTAACCTCTTTTTAAAAACTTGTTAGGTTTCTAGACATAGAAAACTTTAATTTCGTTAATTCCATAATCATTTTTTATAATATAATTCTGAAAATTTCTTATATTTTCAGACTTCCAAACTTCAACACATAAATCTTCATCTACTTTCTCTCTAACCCATGTTTTATATGTTGAATTAATGATTAATATCAAGATTATTGTTCTACATTCTTCTTTTTAGGATCTATACATTGCTGTTGGTATCTCTGGAGCCATCCAACATTTGGCTGGTATGAAAGACAGCAAGACTATAGTTGCTATCAACAAAGACCCCGAAGCTCCAATTTTCCAAGTTGCTGATTATGGACTGGTTGCTGACTTGTTTAAAGTTGTTCCTGAATTAACTCAGAAATTATAATAAAATTTTGTAAATACTTTTTGTAAAATGTGCTGAATTAGGTAAAATATATTTTATTCTAATTTGTTGAATAGTCATTACAGCCATAAACCAAATCTTCATTTGGAATAATTATAAGGACCAAGATAGTGATCATTGGTTGTTGTGTCCACTGTTAAACACTACCCTAATTAATACTCAATTGTAGTGGACTGAAAAGCTTATTAAATAAATGATATATTTTTTTTTATTTAAAATTAACGTGTCTTGACAGCTTATGGTCATTGACACAGGTACAGTTTACAACAACACAGAAGGTTTTTCTAAGGATTAAGTTTGGGGTTTCTGTTTTGTCGAATCTGCATAAATCCATATTGAAAATTGGAAGATTGTGCATCCATAGAGCTGTCTTGGGGGTATAAATAGAAGCAGTATTGGAAAGGTTGATGGAATCTAATAAAGGAGATAATATTTGTGGTAATGTGAGAAACTGATTGGATGCATTTGCTAGGGGAGGTTCTATGGGATTGATTAGACTTATTACTGGGTTACTTGGGTTTGCTGATGTTCTTACAAAGTATAAAAGTAGAAGCTGCTGCCTTCTTAGATGGAGTGGTGGCTCTGGAGATTCAACTCAAACACTTTCAGCAGGGCTTGATTTGAAAGCACCAAGGCATAGTTATAGGGATGTATTTTGAATTGTGTTTAGAGAGTTTAGTAGGGAGGTACTAGATGCCATATAAAGAATACTGCCATTATCTAGCTTAGAGCGAATTAACCCTCTATATATTTTAAGGAGAGATTTTTCATCAGCTCCCCAAGAGAAGCTAGCAAGAGATTTGAGTAGATTGATTCTTTGGGTACAGTTTCCTTTAAGTTTCTGAATATGCTGTCACCATGTAAGCTTTTTATCAAAGGTGATACCAAGATGTGTCAAATAATTAACTGTTTGTAAACGAAGTTCTCGCTATAGCTTTGAGGTTTGTGTTTAGCGTAAATTCTTTATGGAAAATATCAGTGGAAACAAAAATTGATGCTCCGCCACTGGCACGAAGTTGGGTAGTTTGAATATAGTGGTAACCAGTAACATTTTTAAGTTGTCCGGAATACTTATCAGTGAAATTTATTTCTTGTAGGCATATAAAGTCAGGAGAAGACTCAGCTATAAGCTATTCAAGACGTGGACGACTAGGATAAAATCCATCACAGTTCCATTGTATCAGTGTGAAGGCTGAAATTAATATGTAGTGTTTGGATTTTTGCGAGGTTTGTGAACTATCAGACAGGTATTCTTTATCACAAGCGTCCTTGGAAACTATCAAGACTGTTTATACCCTCAGAATCATCTGTTGTAAAATGTATTTTAGTTTTTAATTAAGCATATAATTCTGATTTTTGTAGATCTTTCTTTAAAATTTGGGTTTATTGATTACAAAGTTGTCACAGCTGCCGTAAGCGTTCTCGATAAAGGTGTGTTTTGTTTATAGGCTTCGTGTATTACTTGATTGGAGTCAGTGGATAGACTGGGGTCGAGAGAAGAACTACGTTTTCGTTTCTTTTTTGTATTGGAGGGGCTAGAGGAACTAGGAACTGTTTGTTTGGTAGGAAACATAGTTTGTTTTGTTGCAGGGTTTTCCCCAGATTGAGGGTTCTTATAGATGATACAGATGAGCGGGACCTCTTCTATGAAAGTTGAGAAGTTAAACATAGTTTATCTGACTTGTCAGATATTGTATCATTTTCGCAATTCTCTGGGGAGGAAGACGGATCAGATAGATTTGTTTGGGAGGGAGACGGTTCAGAATGAGATGGAAATTGTGTATTCTGTTGCTGTGACGTTGATTCGGTGGGGGACTTAGGTCATGAGAAAGAGTAGGATTTTCAGATGATAAGCTGTCAGATGAAGTATTGGGACAATAGAAGCAACATATCCTGATTGTTTGTATAAGAAACATTCCAACGTAGACAGAAAAAATCCATTATCATTGTCTTCAAAAGGAATTAACAAGGTGTGAAGCTCACAATCATCAGAGGCAGGAAAAATATATACTTGACGGTGGAAGCTAAGGATGTGGGAGTATTCATTACCTGGAATGCCTGCTTTAAGGAAGGACACGGGGGAGGCTAGGGGTTAGGGACTTGATACACGTCTTACTCGTTCGAGTGCTAGAACAGGAATGAAATAAATAATCTATGCATAACTTTTTGATAAAACATCTATTAAGTTACATTAGGCTTATATTTTTTCATTTTGCTTTGATTGTATGCTTTAATGTCATCACGAATAATGAGATTAAAATCTATAATAGACAAAGATGGTTCTGGTAGAACCACATATGTAGTTGCCGAAAGTGGAGTTGTATATGTTCTTCCTTCTTTTAAAGTTTCGTCTTTTAGATTAATATGTTCTGCAAATCTTTCAAATGTTCTCTGTGGACTGACATTTCTATGACTTAAAGTTAATTCATCGAAAGAGGTGTCATAATCACATATATTTAAATTCTTGAAATGTAGAGCAGCCAGCGTTCGACTTGTTAGTGGGCGTTGAAGTCTATTTTTGTTTCTTCTTCGTATGTCTTTAAGTCTAGGTTTACGCTTTTTTTGAACTATCTCTGACCCCATCATAACTGGAATAGCCCCAGTGTTATGGTAGTATTCTAGGAATGTTTTCACTAGATTTCGACCACATCTCATATCTATTCTTGCATAAAGAATAATAATCTGTAATTTTTCTTTTATTTATAAATGTATCATACTTAGTCAATCTTAAAAATAATAAGTGAAACGGGGGGGGGGGGGGAATGCAGAAACGTGGTGATGATAAAATGCCTTCATGTGAAGTAATACGTTTATTAACTTTTTAAGTAATGTATTAAATTATAGTTAAGTACTCGAAGTGATATGAAGTATTATAATCAATCTGAAGATCCCCATTATGGAACAGCCAGGACATGCAATGAGGATGGAGCAAACTGATAGAAAAACACTCATTGATAGATCCATTGAGCAAAGAAGAGGAAGATCACAAAAATTTTCATTGATAACATCAAAGAAGAGATGAGAAACATTGGACGACATACTTGGAGACTGGAGAAAAATTCTTGATGCTAGTACCTCACTTGTACATACATATTTTTGTAAAACCAAGTGGTGATGATCACTACAGAACACCCACATCACAATGTTTATAAGTTAAACTAAAAAATATTAGGTATTGCTGCAAATAGAAATTGTAAACATTTATAAAGTCTATAATAATAATTAAGAAAATTAGAGGTGAACTGGTAGAGAACATACATTTTATACTGAGACAAGTTAGTGAGAGATATACACAAGTATAATAATTTGCTACATGTATGCCCTATAAATGAATAAAAGCTTTAGACTGTAATTAAAATAAATACGACCAATTATGAGAAATAGGAGCAGCAATAATAGTTCTAATTATAATAGAAAATGGAGAAACCTTTAACAAACATAAGACCCTCAGTAAAAAGATTATTAAAGCAATTAAGATGTATCATTGCATTATAGAAATTCAATGTTATTTTAAATAAAGTAGATACATTTAAGGATACAAGTATCTTCTGTGTATGGAATTACAACTTCGGATCCTTTAAGTTTATAACCATAAATAGAAACTTCAAAAGTATAACAATTGACTTTGTCGTTTAAAACAGAACAAAGATATCGCCTTGCGGTGCCTACTTTATTTACATCTGAGTTGAACATTGTATTTTCAGGTACATAGTCATCTAGGGTATTGGCTAGGAGCTTTGGGAATAGTATGTGACGCTCATACCTACAATAAAATGTATTAAAAAAACTATTTTATCAAATTTACAAATTATGTACAAAAAAGTCTTATATTCAATAAATTATTTTCCGGATTTTAACCTCACTTGTGGGTAAGTGAGTGTTGTTTTTGATGGTTGAAGACTGAAGATCAAATTTGAGGTAAAATGTAATCTAGAGAATGCTTTTGAATTTTCAAGATTTTACACATGTTTTTGAGTAAGATGACACGTATTATGGACCATTTGAATTTGATTTGGTTATGCTGGTTCGATATACAACTACCTGGCCACACGAAAAATAATCATTAAAGTACCTATACATCATAAGAAAAAAGGCAAGATACACACTTCTAATAATTTTATTTTCGTTTCTCATATAAAGTGTCCCTCTGCATAATTATTGGTTGTTATGATTAGCACACTTTTCGTGGAATCACCTCTTCTAAGTATAGGAGCTAAATATATGAGCAAATTCTAGGTAAGAAACTGAAATATTTTGCAACGATACATGTCAGAGAAAGGGTCTATCTAGCATTCACAGATTTTTAGAAGGCATTCAATTTTGTGCCAAGACCAAGATTACGTTACATGGAAAATAAGGGGGGGGTCCGCAGATATTTAACAAATTTCAGTATATCATTGTACCTTAAAAAAGTAGTCTATAGCTCTTTTGTAGCCCTGTAGGTGTCCCTGGACCTGAGATATGCCCTCGAAAGGACCAAAATAGCCCTTTTCACCCTATATCTGAAGAGCTATATTTCTGAGCACAATGGACCGATTTTAACTCACAAGTTCTCAATTTTTTTTAAACGAGCATTGGTAAATTAAAATTCATTTAGTAGATTCGAAGATACATCTTATTTAAAAATAGCCAGTTTTTCAAAAACAGCATTTTTTATCAATTGTACTTTTTATCAGTACTTTTTTCTTGACAATCTAAAATTACATAAAAAATTAGCTATATGTTATTAGGCATTAGGAATATGTATACAACGATGTCTACTTCTTGAATTTCTTGGCGCAGATCTATAACTTTTTTTTTACCGCCTAATAATTAAGCTCTTTTCTTCATAAGTAAGCCAACACATGTGGTCGTTAATAATTTCTCTTATCTGCTTGATTATTCTGCAATATTAAATCTCAACAAATAACTTTGATCTGAGGTACTATATCTTCTTCTAGTTCCATGACCGTTATCAATCGTTGGATATCATGTTGGCTACCATATTCGCTATCGTGACTTTATTGACAGCAGCTCTAAATAACGATGTAGTTGATTTTCCATACCATTGCCTTAGATTTTTCAGCCATGATGTTCTTCTTCTAACAGGACCACGATTACCTTGGTCAATCAGATTTACATCTGATCTTTCCCTGAATGATCAGATGTAAAAGGTCATATTTTTCAGGGTGTCTCATAATGTGACCGAAGTATTCTAGCTTTCTGCGTTTCCTTATTATATTGACCAGTTGTATTGTTTGGTTCAGCCGTCTAAGGACCTCCTCATTTCTAACTCTGTCGACCCATCTTATTTTCAGTAGTCGTCTGTATACCCACATCTCAATGGCTGTCAAGCGTTTAAGGATAGCCTCAGTTAGAGTCCACGCTTCCACTCCATACAGCAGGACAGGAAAGATTTAGCAAGATGTCATTCGAACTCTAAGGTCAATGCTAATATCGTGACTGCCATGTACATTTCTCATTTTTACAAAGGCAGCTGGGGCTTGTTCTATTCGGCTTTTAATTTCTGCGGTTGGATCCCAGCTCTCATTGATATTACTGCCGAGATACACGAGTTTCTCTACTCTGTCCAGTGTGGTATCTCCGACTTTTATACCGTCATCCTGTATATAATTTTGTTTGCTAACTATCATATGTTTAGTTTTCTTAACGTTTTAATCCATACTGATCACAAGTCTGTTTTATTTTGTTCATAAGATTTTGAAGGTCTTCTCTGCGATTAGCAAGCACTAAGGTATCGTCGGCATATCTAATATTGTTGACGGTTACTCCATTCACAATAATACCTTCGGTTGTCTCCATTAAGGCTTCCTTAAATATTTCCTGCGAATATAAGTTAAAAAGTAAAGGCGACAATATACAGCCTTGTCTCACTCCTCTTTTTATATTTATTTCATCCGACAGTTCTTGTTTAACCTTTATTCTTGCCACTTGATGTCAGTATAGATTTCTAATTATTCCTAGATCTTTATCGTCCAATCCAGCTGTTTCCAATATTGTTAGCATTTTGTTATGTCGGACTTTCTCAAAAGCCTTTTCAAAATTGATTGCACAAATGTACACATTTTGATTAATATATCTGCATCTCTGTACTAGCACCTGTATACTAAACAAGGCTTTTCTTGCACCCAAGCCACTCCTAAACCCAAATTGAGTATTGCTAATTCTGTCCTCTAACAGCGTGTAAATTCTGCTGTGTATTACTCGCAGGAAGATCTTCAAAACATGATTCATCAGACTAATTGTCCGATATGTCGCATGTCTTTAAATTATGTTTCTTAGGTATTGTGACAAATGTCGACTTTAACCAATGAATTGGTAATATCCCAGTGTCATAAATTCTGTTAAAGAGATTACACAGAGCTTTAATTCCATTTTCTCCCAAAAACTTTAGTATTTCAGCACTTACTTAATCGGGGCCAAGAGCTTTTCCATTTTTTGCCGTTTGTATCGAACGTGTAACCTCACTTTCTGTTATAGATAGACGTGATATAGCAATCGGTGTATAGTGTTCTACTTTTTCATCTCCAAATAATTCAGAAATGTAGTTTTCCCATTATTTTAACTGTTCATTGATGTCTAATGTTCTGTGTCCGTTTCTGTCTTCTAAACTTTGGGATGCTTGTTTCCGTTTGTTTCCAGCGACCTCTTTTAATCTCTTGTGCAGATGAAATGTATCGTGTTTCTTTTCATATTGTTTAATTTTATTACATTCTTTACTATAAAATTGTGTTTTCGCGTGTCTTATCTTCTGCCTGATTATTGCGTGGATCCTCTTGTATTCGTTTTTATCTTTATTTCTGACTTCTTTTCTTTAATCCATAAGTCTCAGTATTTCTTCTGTCATCCACCCTTGTTTTTTCTTGCTTTTATCGCACTTAATTTTGTTTCTTGAACAGTCTTTAAGATGTCTTTAATTCTCGTCCAGTTTTCACTTGATGTTAAGTTCATTTTTTGTTCTAATATACTAGTTATTTCTTGTTTTACAGTATCATTTAACATCTTTTCTCTATCAATAGTAACTGTTTGCTTATTCGTCCTTGCAACTCTTTTTAATCTCAGTCTTATTTTTCCTACTAAAATATTGTGATCTGTTGGTACATCTGCGACTGGATATGTTTTTACTGCTAATACTGAATTTCTGTATCTCTTATATATATATATATATATATATATATATATATATATATATATATATATATATATATATACATATGAAGTCTATTTGGTTACGAACAACTCGTTCAGGTGTATCTGCTGGTGATTTCCAGGTGTAAAGACGACGTTTTGGAATTTTGAAAATTGTGTTTGTTATTACTTAATTGCTTTTCTACGCAAAAAGATGCCAACATATCTTTTCTTTCATTTCGTATTCCCAGACCATATTTTCCTATGATATCTTCCTGTTCATCTTCACCAATCTTCGCATTAAAATCTCTCATGATAATATTGAGATCGTATTTCCTTGTAGGTGCTAATACTGTTTCTAAATCATGATAGAATTTTTCAATTTTTTCTTCTTCAGTCTTGTGTGGGTGCATATACTAGTAATATGTTCACATTTATTGTTGTTAATTGTATTTGTATCATCAGTATCCTTTTTGAGAATAGGACGATGTTTTTTACAGCTTTATCTGCTTCCTTTGACACAATTATTGCTACACCATTTTTGTGTTTTGAGCTGTCTTCTCCTGAATAGTATATAATGTGATCATCTACAGTTACTTTTCCAGACCCTGACCATCTCAGTTCACTTATTCCAAGAATACTTATATTTAGACGCTTCATTTCTGTACTGGTGTGAATTTTTCCTGGTTCGTACATGCTTCTTATATTCCATGTACAGTTGCGGTCACGGAATAGTTTACACCTTACTTTTTATATTGTAATACTGTAAAATTGCAGTGTCGTACGGATTTGATAAATGTCAAAGTCAAAAAATTTCAAAACGTCAATGCTTTCGCGAGTGTTCAACAATAAAATAAAAGTATATTAAACTCTTCCAAAATGGTTAGAATACATTTGAATTATGCGCAAAAAGCAAGAGCAATTGCCAAACTCGAAGAAGGTTGGTCACTAAGGCAAGTTGCTGCTGATTTGAACGTGAGTCATATGTGCATATGGAAGATTAAACAAAGATGGGATAATTTTCACTCTATAGCACGGTTGGGCGGTTCAGGAGGGCAGAAGATTTCCACAGATCAACAGGATGAGATGTTAGTAGATTATTTGAGAGAATCTCCTTTTGCCACAGCTCAAAAGGCAAGAGAAGAGGCAGCGTTTCCAGGCAGTATTCGCACTGCACGTCGAAGAATTAAAGCAAGTGGACTGCTAAATTGTGTAGCTGCACGGAAACCTTTTTTGACTGAGGATCACAAGAGGAGACGAGTTGAATTTTGTAATGAATTTATAAACCGCGATGAGAATTTTTGGTCTAGGGTTGTATTTTCCGATGAAAAAGTATTTCAGTCGTATAATAATGGTCGAATAAGAGTTTATAGGCCGAGAAATCATAGGTATGATGAACAGTATACGCATCATTTAAGAAATAGTGGAGGATTCTCTGTCAACGTATGGGGATGGATAAGTACCGAAGGCCCGGGCGTTTGTTATCATGTAGAGGAGAAGTTAACAGGATTATATTACAAACATATTATTGAGCACACAATGTTGCCATCGGTGATCCAGAGATTCCCCAACAACGACTTTATCTTCCAACATGACAATTGCCCGGTGCATACGAGTAGAATTGTTCGAGAATGGCTAGAAGAAACTGATGTTAATGTTCTTCCGTGGCCTTCCCGTAGTGCAGACTTTAACCCCGTCGAAAATGTGTGGGCAGAGTTAACAAAGAAACTAAATGAAAGAAACCTTAGACCACGGAATAGAATTGAATTATGGGAAGCAATTGAGCAGGCATGGGAAGAGCTTGTTAACTATAACATGAGGGGATTGGTGCTATCTATGAACAGAAGACTGCAAAATTGTATTGACAAGAATGGGGCTTCCACCAAATATTAATTATTATTTATCATTGTTTATCGTTATTTAATATAAAATAGATTTAAAATAAAATGCATATTAAAAAAAAAAAGACTTCTTTATTTTCGTTATTAAGATCATAATTCATTTTATTCAAAAAACTGTTTTCTATATTTTTCATTTTGTAAAATATTTTGATATTTTAATTTTAACCTACCTATTCTAGCTAGTACACCACTGGCAACGTCACTTTGACGTAAAAGGTGCGTTTAAACGAAGTAAAAATTTAAAAAATGGGCTCCTAGATACGTGAACCTGTAAACTATTCCGTGACCGCAACTGTACCTATTTTTCTTTCTTTAGAAAATGTGTTTATGTTTATAGCTGATCGGGAGATTATTAGCACCCCTGCTCCATTTAAGGAGCGCCCGTTTTATTTATCAGCCATTTCCATGATTGTTTCTTGGGAAAATTAGGCTCTAGGTGGTTTCCCGTTGCCTTCCTAGAATGTGTAATAGAAGGAAATATAGTGACCCGTCTGCCCTCGGAAACCTAATAGCTATTCGGGGTCGGAAGAAACAAGAGTTAGCCAAGAGAGGCAGAAAGATTAAAGATATTTCACTCAAGACAGGTTGAAAAAGAGTAAAATGTGAAGGCCCTTATGATCCGCCAGGTACGTTTCATAAGCGTTTGAGTATTGATTCACTTTATGTTCCCGCTCATACCTCGAGTTGTTGACTACAGACTGTATGGCTCGTCCAGCATGCCATAGCATGGAGATTAGGGTACACGTAATTTTTACAATGTAGATACCCCAGCTCCATGGTCTGACGTAAAGGTAAAGGTATTATAATACGTGAACGCTAATACTTCTACGTTTTTAGAAAGTGGCGACAATTTGGATTTTAGAAAATGTATAGGCCTTTATATATTATATATTTTTTTTGTTTGGTTAAATTTTGGCAATTGAAAATCACAAAATTTTGTGTTTTCTTTTCGTTCTTCTTAACCTATAAAGTAAAACTAAACTTCAGTAAAAAAGTTGACATTATTATAAAAAAAAATATACATTCGAGCAGCGCCGGTTTAGCCAGGGGTCTTTTGGGGCTGTAGCACCGGGCGGTTGAAGGTTCCAGGGCGATAAGCATGAAACACGTGCTGTTCCGAAATTATTTGGCTATGATAAAATAAAATTTGCATACAAATCCACATGATATAATAATAAAATTTTGTTTTAAACGCCGTCTACACTCTCGATCGAAGTTCTTCGAAAGGTGTGAATTTAATCAAGGTGAGGTGACTCTCTACATACGTTTTAAATCAAGTGACACTACAAATATTTCCCAACCGGTTCCTAGTTCTAGTGCTACTTGTGATAAATATATTCATATTTGATCACATAAACCTATCTTGGAGACTTCAGAATCAGTGCCAAAGCACTTAGTATCACCTGTTTCAAAAGTATTACCAGATCACCAGATCCAAAACAAGATTCCAGCACTTTGGCAAGATTGCCATAATTATGCAAAAATGATTCTACAAAAATGGACCGAACAGAATCTTATAGATATGGACTTTTCAATGTCAAAAAGAAATTTCGGCAAACAAAATAGGTATACCAGTAAGCAAATATTTTATAAAAAACTGGTTAAAGGAGAAGTGGTTCGCTGCGATTGGGCAATTTACTACAAGAACAATGGCAATATACTTTGTCTTTATTGTGTCTAATTTGGAAAAAAAGAACCGATTTAAAGCAGGATTTTCATTATGGAATAAAAGTAAGGATAGATTTGACGAACATGAAAGATTCAACGATCATATAGATAATCTGAAGATTTATACGACTCGCTTACTAAAGCAAGGAAGAGTTAATGTAGAACTCAAAAAGGAAATTAGCACTGCGAAAGAATATTGGGTTAAAGTACTAGAAATAGTCATAATCATAAGTGTAATTAAGTTTCTGGCTACCAGGGAATTGGTATTTAGAGGGTCTCATGAAAAAACTGGTGAAAAATGTAATGGAAACTACTTAGGTTTACTGGAACTATTGTTAGAATATGATTTATTTTTAAAAGATCATATTAATAAACGGGCAAATTTAGATAAGGCCCAAACGTAATATCTATAAAAAGATATATGTAACGAATTACTGAATATTTTGTCGAATCGAGTCATTGATAAAATTGTTAGGCAAATAAAGGCAAACAAATACTATTCTATAAGTATTGATTCAAAATCTGACATAACACACCATGACCAACTTATAGTGATTTTGAGATATTGTAACAATAAAAGGAATCCCGTGCAAGGATTCGTGGGGTTTTATAAAAACACTGGGCATAGCTCACAAGAACTTGAGGAAATAGTTATTTGTTAGAGTCTTTGAAATTAGATATTCACAACGTAGAGGCCAGTCTTACGAGAATGCTAGCAATATGAGTGGCAAGTATTCTGGTTTGCAAGCACGTATTGAAGTTTACAATGATTTAGCTCTCTTTGTGCCTTGTGCTGCTCACTTTTTAAATTCGGTTGTCCAAAATGCAACAGATTGTTGTTTGAAAAACAACATATTTTTTTATGTTGGTACAAGCTATCTACAATTTTTTTTTGTGTCTATATACAGGTGAGAATTATTGTCTCGTGCTATAAAGGATTTGTCTGAGTCAGGGCACACACTGTTACCTAAAAAAGTGAATACAACATGTTGGTCTTCTCGTTTTGATGCCGTAAAAGCTTTAAAAATCAATTACGGTTTGCAATTTATTTATATTGCAAACTTGCATTATTTATATGCAAGACAAAAGTATTTGATACTTAAATTTATATAAATACAAAATTTAAATATATTTACAAACAAACCTGTAAACATCTTCATAGCTATTTCCATAAACGAAACATCCCTTAAGACTTGAATGAGCATGTATATCTATAACAAAATCTAACTGGAATTCCTGAAACACCCTTATATATTGTAACAATAATGTTTAAATTTCTTTTACTGATATCCTTACCTTATTTTTATCTATTCTCACTAACATATCAATCACAGCTCTTATGGTGGGATGGCACCATTGATTAGAAATGTTCCAGCATCGGTTGAGGTCTGCTCCTATTACCGTACTTCTGTAATTGCCCAAAAACACCCCATCAGGGTTTATCATAGGAATAACTTTAAATATTACGTGTTCCCTTAGAGTGGTTGCTACAGAATTTGAACTTATTAAGAGCTCCAATAAACCTATAAAATTATATACTTATTGTTAGATATATTTAATTAATAGATTAATGAAAACTCAAATTGTCTTATGCAGATCATGCATCACTTGGAATAACACGTTAGTTTTGAAATACAAACTTTTTGAAGAATAACTTTTTTTCATAAAATTAAAAATAAAAAAAATTCTGATACGATCCAATTAAGTCTGATTTTAATAATTTTCAAAATTTCAGTCAATTTCAATTTTTAGTCACTTCAAAAATAGTTCTTATTGTCTAGAAGTGTAAAGTGTGTGCTTGTAGAATTTTCAGTCAGCTATTAACAAATTTGTAGGTACTTACCCTGGCACACAAAACTTGATGGCGACTCTCCTGGATGTACTCTAGCCATTATTGCAATAACCCTTCTTTTTGACTTCGGATTATTTTTATCTAATGAACCGATAGTTACCAAATCCACGCGTCTTTTTTGCTGTGATAAAATATATTATACAATTTATAAATTAGAAAGATTTGACTCCGAGTAGTAAAAGTACCGATAGGTATAATATTTATTGTGTTCAACAAAGGTATTGTGCTTTAAACGATCAATCCAACAACATAAATAAAATTGGGTAAGTGCTTCGGAAATTATAAACGCAATTCAAATTTTACAAACGATGCAAGTACATCTCCTACGTGGTGAACTGGGTTTTTTGCCTTATCGGTAGACAGTAAAAGAGAGCAGGACCACCCTTAAAAACGTCCACAATCAAAGAAACTAGAAAAATTAAATAAAATACTATATTTCATATGAAAGGACAAAAAAAAAACAGCCTCGTTAAATGATCCGATAAAACTAAGAAATCTGAGAAGAAATAAAAAAGTCTATAGTCTTTTTCCATCATATTGATAGCACATTATGTATGCAAATCCTCAACAGGTCAAAAAACCATAGGCGTCACCCTATACTTGTTTTGAAATAAATAAAAAAAATTAATATTTTAAGATGCCGTCAACAATTCATTATCTTTTAAAAAATCTTCTGTAAAATAAGTGTCCACGAATCTCACTATACCTTTTTTGTGCGTAAAAAACGTCGGTATATATGCCACACGATTATTGTTAATTATACACGGGTGATTAACGAGAGAATTCAATGTTTCAGGAAATAAATTAATGTAACAGTAATTTAAAGGTGATTATTGTTTTCTATATAAGTTATCGCCTGACACAAAAAGAATACCCTCTTTGAACGATTACCTGGAATTACTGATAAGGCTTCACTAATGATAGTTTAAGTAGTTTTTATGCCACATTACAGCTTATGCCAATAATATAAATTAGAAATTGTTTGCATCTTCCATTTAGTTTGTAGATGTACATTGTTCATGTCTTACCTACCTACGTTTTTGGTGTCGATATTTTGTTATTTGTATTTAAAAATGACGTCGACAACACGTTTTATCTCGGTTAAGTGTAGTTTTAAAGGTGCCTTCAGTCTAAGAGAGAGAAATATAATATTAAATGTACACGATGCACTTGTACATCAACGCCCTTTAAGTAATGTTCGTGAAATCGTTAACATGTGTTCAAATATGACAGGGGTTGGAGAAGCAACAATTTATAGATTCCTAAAAGAAAGAAAAGGAGGAACTGTTTCATCTCCCAAGAAGAGTGGAGGGAGTAAACCCTTGGAAATTGAAGAAAACATGATAAGACGTAGCGTCAACTCATTTTTTTTTAACAAAGAATTTCCAACATTGGACAAAATCCAAACATTAATTAGAGAAAACGAAGAGTTACCAATCATAAGCAACAAGAAATTATTTGGACTATTGAGAGAGATGGGATATCGTTGGCAAAAGAATAGAAGAAAATCCGTTTTAATTGAAAAAGATTACATTGTATGTTGGAGCCAAGATTATCTAAGAACTATTAAAAAGTACCGAGAAGAAAAGAAAACAATTTTTTATTTGGACGAGACTTGGCTAAATGAAGGTCATACTTTACCATATCTATGGGTTGATACAAATGTGAAAAGTTCCCGTCAGGCATTCATCGAAGGTGTATCTACTGGAATAAACAATATTCCCGTTGGAAAAGGACGCAGACTCATAATAACCTATATTGGAAACGAATACGGTTTTGTCAATGGTGGATTATTAAGTTTTGCCTCAAAATCAACCAAAGATTACTACGAGGAAATGACTGCTGACGTTTTTGAAGAATATTTTGAGCAAATGTTGGATTTAATTCCAAAAAATTCTGTCATAGTCATGGATAATGCTAGTTACCATTCAAGACTAGCAGAAAAATTGCCAACAACGGCATGGAAAAAAGGAGAGATAATCGAATGGTTGGATAAACACGCAATTGAGTACAAGGAGAATTCGACAAAGAAAGAATTATTACCTATTGTAAGGCAACATAAAGCAGCTTATAAAAAATATATAATTGATGAAATGGCATTAAACCGTGATGTAATTATTTTACGTTTACCCCCATACCACTGTGATCTGAATCCGATAGAAAATATATGGTCTCAAGTAAAGGGTGAAGTTGGACGCAACAACAAAACTTTTAAATTAGAAGACTTACAACAATTATTAGAACATTCCTTATCAAAAGTAACTCCAGAAAATTGGAAAAATGCTGCTAGTCATGCTCACAAGGAAGAAAATAAAATGTGGAATTTGGATAATATGACTGATGCAATGCTGGAACCGGTAATAATTAACATTGGAGTTGAAGATTCCTTAGATTCTGAAGAAAGCAGTGAATCTGAAATGGAATTTGATTAAAATAATATTCATTTTTTTTACAAATCGGCTCCTGTTACGGCCACCACTGGCAACTTTATTTAGGGATTAGTAACCCCCAAAACTATTGTATTCTATTCTGCTTCAACCTTTATACCTGGTGGTCATACTCAATTTAAAATTCTTTTCCTATATACTTTTGTAAACTTGTTGACAAATATCTATTTTTCATTGAGTCACCCGTATCAACAGTTTAGGAATTTGCATACATAATGTGCTATCAATATGATGGAAATGGACTATAGAGGAAATTATAATTACGGAAATGAAAGAAATCTGGTGAAAAAAGTTCATAAACAATTATATTCTAAATTTTTACTTATTACACTCGACTTCAAGATGTTATTCATAAAGTAGCGATATGGAACGTCAATAGTTTGTGTATCCCAGGAAAGTTATATAACCTGCTCAAAGAAATGGGTGTAAGTGAATTGAGGTGGTCTGGCTCAGGTATTTCTCACAAAGACAACTTTGCAGTGTACTATTCCGGTAGTGGTGCCACAGATAATTACCACAGGCATGGAGTTGCAATAGTGCTTGATAATAGAATTGCGATGCCTGTTATAGATTACATACCCGTTTCAAACAGAGTAAGCATAGTGCAGTTAGAAGTGAACTTGATAAACAAAATATTCCGCAACTATATAAAAAGAGTGGCCGCTTACCCTGGTGCCGACATTTCGTCTGACCACAACCCCCTAATCGCGAATGTAAGACTTCGTTTGGCAAAGGTTAAAAAGCCATCTAATAAAAAATACATAAACACTAGAGAACTAATAAGAGATGAAGAGCTTAGATCTACATACAGTAAGCACATCAACAAGAACTTGAGAAACATACAATAAAATTACATAGAGGAAACCTGTGAGAAAATAAAAATAGCTATAGTCGTGGCTGACGAAGAAGTCGCAAGTAAAATAAAAAGAAATCACAAAAAGCTAGTGGAGAAACGCAGACAGTACAAAATACATCAGAATCGACAGGAATACAAGGAAATCCAACGTACGATAAGGACAAGAATTAAAAATGCAAAGGAAAGCTGGATGAAAGAACGTTGTGAAGAATCGGAATCATTACAAGAAAAGGGAGACAGCTTTGGACTTCGCAAAAAGAGCAAAGAAATTTCGAGTATATACCAGAAATACCATGAGACTCGCCTGCAGAATGATCAAGGAAACTACGTTTATACCCAGGAAGAACTAGTTAACATCTGGGCAAACTATCCTTCGTCCCTCTTTGCGGATAATAGACCTAATCTGCCAACTATTAACTTACCCACGGAAAATTTATCCGTCCCTCCCATTATTCGCGCTGAGGTGGAGTACGCTATAAAAGTAGCAAAACTATTCAAGGCCCCTGGACCGGATGGAATTACTACGGAAGTCATTAAACTGTTCGAAAATGATAACATCGACATATAACACCGGCCACATTCCAACGGATTGGCTTTATTCAACCTTTATAATGATCCTTAAATCACAAAGTTGTCATTCCTTCATCCTTCACACAAGAATGTTCAGAAAGCTGGAAGATCTAAGCGATGAGACACAATTTGGTTTCAAGAGCGGACTGGGTACAAGTGAAGCAACTTTCTGCTTTAATACGCTTGTACAAAATTGCATGGATCAACGAAAGGATATAGTCATAACATTCCTCGATTATGAAAAAGCGTTTGATACCGTAAAACATGACGCAACGATAAAATGCTACACAACGCTAACATTGACGAGAAAGATATAAGAGGTATCCAGAATCTTCATTGGAATCAAAAAGCACGAGTGAGACTGAACAAATCAACCAACACAGAATTTGAAATTTTAAAAAAGGGTGCGACAGGGGTGTATTTTGTCTCCTATGCTCTTTAATCTCTATGTGGAGAACATTTTTGCAGATGCACTGGAAGGCTGTGAGTGTGGAATAAAGGTAAACGGATTCCCGATAAATAACATTCGTTCGGCCGACGACACCGCGATAATAACAGACATGATATGCAGTTGATGTTAAATAAAATAAACACCATAGGAAAATATAAAAAATATATAAAAATATAAAAATATATGCCTTGAAGATAAATGCTGAAAAAACTAAATGCATGGCAATTAGAAAAAACGCACTTTTAAGAATACAACTGCAAGTAGATAACGCTCCAATCGATCAAGTGAAATCATTTAAATACTTGAGAATGATGATGAATGATTAATGGAATCCTTAACAAGAAATAAAATGCCGTATAGAACAAGCAAGACCAGCTTTTATCAAATATAAACCGTTACTATGTAACCGCAATCTTTCGTTCAATCTCCGATACAGGGTGATTAAATGCTATGTATGATCCATATTGTTATACATGGAAACATGGACGTTAAGAGTACCTTCCATTAATAAGTTGGAGGTCTTCGAAATGTGGACGTTGCGAAGAATGTTCCGCATACCGTGGACAGATAGGGTTAAAAACGAGGAAGTCTTAAGAAGGGCAAATACTGAGAGAGAAATACTCAATCTGATCAAGGTACGAAAAATTGGATACCTCGGCCGTTTCTGAGAGGAAAAAAATACGCAGTTCCTAAACTAATCATCTAGGGAAAGATTG